TAATTTGTAACTCTAGAAAATTACAATAAAATTTATTAATAATTATAGAAAAATATTTATTGAACAACAGTTATATTTTTTTTGATGAAAGAACAATTATATTTGTTAATGGCTATTCAACACTTCGTCTAAGAATCCATTCAAAATCCTTCCAAAAACTCTAGAACTCTAATTAAAATATCTTAATCCTAATTCAAATCCTAGAATATATAAGATTCTTGGACAACATTCCAAGCCTTGCCGAGCAATCCCTGGTGAATAACACGCCCTTAGACTCATGACCCAATTAAAGATTAGTTGTTTTGAGTCATGAACAGTGTACCACTAAATTAACTTATTTATATAATCGCAAACTTATACTTTGCAAACAGTGAACCGCTTTAATTGGTAGGCTTGTGTCTTAGGTAACTTACACACTTGAAACTTGTCCGATTAAAACTTTTAAACATTGAACTTGACTATCTGTTAAAGAATTAATCTTGTCTTGCCTACCAAAGAATTGGACTAATCAAAGCACCAAAATTGTAAAAAAATTTGCTTTGTGGGCAATGAAAATGAGGCGGTTATAAGAGCATACATGGAGAAGGGATCATCGTGAGCTTATGCTTACTAAATCCTTCAAAACATTCTCTAAATATCTTTTTTTTTTCATTTAAACAAAGTAAGCTTGAGCAAAAATTGGTAAACTTATCAAAGGAATTCTTTTTTTGGAAAAGAATTAGAGGTTCAAAATTAAGAAACCCGTGCCATATGTCTACTCTGCCCAAAAGAAGACTGTGTACCTAATGGAAAGCTAATCCCCCCAACTTCAAAGGAACAGCTCCATATTACATCGAGGTTTAAATGCCAAAAATAACCATCCTAAAGAATTTTATTCTTTTATATGAAAAGAGAGGTTATGCGAGATTTTTTATTTTTTTTATTTGGCACTACACCCCATTTGTTTTTTAACAAATCAACACAATGCGCATCTTATCATATTTGGAATTTTTTTCTCAATTATTTTTTGATTTTAAAAACCCTTTTCTCTTTCTTATATTAACGTCATAATCTGGACAAATTCGTGGACCAGTCTTCATGTTAGAACAGTCTTTATATTTTATTAGCAAAAGTTAAATATGTAAGTATTTTGTTTCCAATTTCTACACGTACGCAAGAACTAACTAGATTTTTCCGTGGACGTGGCATCTCGTATGTCTTGAGTTCAAGGGGATTAAGCTAATTACTTTAGTCATGCGTGCTTCTCTCATAGAAATAATTATTGGAACTGTCAAAGCAAGGACTAGTAATCATGACTTACGTGTCATTGTTGACATATTTTTTTTAAAAAAATCGTAAGATTGTGACTTCGTGAAGCCAAGACGCGATGGCGTAGCCCAAACCAAAGGCTGATTAAGACTGGTTAGGATTTTAGATTTTAAAAAAAAATGCATGGATTCCATCTCATTGCATATGTTGTCTCACGAAAAAAAATTTCTTTAAAATAATTAGATCACAAACATATTCGTACTTTATACATGTAAATAAAAGAGACCGACTCTCTCTTCCTTTCAGACGAATAATATTTTATTTTTATTTTTTTTTATATTATTAAAAATGACCAATAAATCCTGATTCGAAATGTACTCATCACAATCATTATTACTCGTTGTATTTCTTTCACATATTAATAGTATTTCTTAAAAACAAAAAGCAGGAATGCCTACTTGTTTTACGAGGAAGAGTGGTATAAGAAACTGGGCTTATAGTCGGACCTTGACGGATTCACATTTTCTCTTCAAAATATTATTCTTTCTATAGAACATAGAAATGTTTGAGTGCGCGTACAAATTCTCAAGTCACCAATCACAGTTCTAAGATGCGTTTGGCAAGTTCCACATTTTTCTCCTTTAACCACATTTTTCTCCCTTTAACCATGTGCTTCGAACCTTGTAAAGTCTCCATGAGCTGGAGGTGAATACTAGTCCAGTGGAATAGCTTAACTAGTTTAAATTTTTTTTTTTACTGAGTGTTAATATAACCAAGATGACATTAGTCAAAATGTGATGCCTTCTAAGTCGTATCTACGGCCTCATCAAAATCAATCTAGTGACATTTTCCCGAATTTTTTTCCTTACATTAATTGACTTCCAATCTCTACAAGACAAATAAGTTCGTTTTCAACATAAGCATGATTCCACTGCGAAAATGACTTGGTACGATTACTCTAAGAAATTAATATAATATAGAAGAGTTTTGGAAAATAGAGTAATTATTTTTTTACTTGATTACAATTATTCCAGCGCGAAAAAGACGTGGAAGTTAGGCAGAAACCCAAAGTGGTCATGTGGAAATTAGTTAAAATTTTGAAATAATTACTCTATTTTCTAATTAGTTTGATATTCTAATTGAGTCTAGCAATATTTTAGAAAAGGATAAGTGTTTTCACCTATCGAAATATTATTAGTGTTAGAACTTGAAATTCTAATTGATTCTAATTAATTGACATCAATATTTATTCAGGTATTTGCTTGGAGATGATATATATTTAAAGCAACCATATTTTAGAGCTTTTCATTTTATTGGGATTTCTAAAAATTCAAAAATATATCACCTCCAAACCCTAAAATAAAATAAAATGCCTACCAAGTGAGACAGGTCTTAACCACACTGGCCTAATTCAGGTCCAACATGTGTATGAATTTCTAAGGGTTAATTTCACATAATCTCCTTAGGTACTTTTTTGGGGGATTTCTGACATGACCGCTCCTAAATTTCTACGTCACACACATAACCCCCTTGATCTTTAGGGTTCTCACAAAGCCCCCCTAGACTTTCATCTTTTCTCATTGGACCCCCTACCCATAATTTATAAATAATAATAAAAGTAAAAAAAATCAAAATTTCTATTTTTAATTCAAGCAACATACATTCTTCCCTAAAATTTTTAAATTTTTTCTCTCAAGAAAAGTTTATTTATTTGCAGATTACATGTAGGAGGGTCTAATAAGAAAAGTTTAAAGTTTTCAAAAGGTTTTGTGAGAAGCCCAAAGTACAAAGGGTTATGTGTAATACACAAAGTTCAGGAGGGTTAAGTTATACGAGAAACCCCCCAAAGTTCGGAGTGTTATGCGAAATTTACTCTTTTCTAAGGCTATGTTTGGTTTGAGAGAAAGGGAGAGAAAAGAAAAAGAAAGAGAAAGTAAAAAGAAAGGAAAAGAAAAAGAAAAGAAAATGATATTCTTTTTATTGTTTGGTTAGAAAGAATATTGTAAGGAAAGTTAGAAGAAAATTCATAAGAAAGTCATTTTCTCTTGTTTGGTTACCTTTCTAAGAAAAGAGGAAGAAAATTATCACAACATAATTTTAATTCATACTTTTTGGATTTAGATTTAGATTTTAAATAATTTATAAAAAATAATTAAATTAAATTATAATTCTATCATATTTTTAAAAAAATTACAAGTTATTATACATGTTTACACAATCTTAACTCAAGAAAAATTGGCAATTTCCTAACACAAAAACTTGAGTGGCCATCAACTTCGAGTTTGTAAATATTAACAAGCAGAAGCACAATCACAATTCCACTAATTAAAGAACAACATTTCTCACACATAATATTTGCAGAAAGAAATATCAATGAAAGAACCAAAACAAATATAAAGTAAATATCATGATATTCCTAATATAAACTATAATCAATTTCTAGTCACAAATTCTATTACAATCAATTTCATATAAAAAATCTTAACCAACAAAGTCTATTACAATCAATTTCATATAGAAAATCTTAACCAAAGAGAGAAAAATATGCCGAAGTCCTTGGATTTTGACTTTAGTGAGCTCATCAAGACATCAATCTCACATCCTTCATCTCCTGAAATTAATTCAAATAAAAATTCAAATAAGTAGAATGCCATACATTATTAAGGGTATATATTTACTTAATTAGCATTAAGCGGATTTTGCATCATGTAGGCTTCCATAAACCTATTATTCAAATTGATAAAACAAATACAGAGAAATTACAATCAAAGTTCCACAGAATCAGAACTTAACGTCCTTTGGCAGGATGGGAGAAAATATACAGCAGTTTTCAATTTTTTGGAAGCAAATGTAAACCATGTTTAATAATTCTTAAAATTGTCAAGAGCCAGCCTTGTCTGCAACACTTAGCACAATTTTTAGCTCTTTGAATGATTCATTTAAATCAAGTTTGTCTTCACAACTACATATAAAATCTAAACCTATCCCCAAGAGTCGTACGCATGCTTGAAAATATATAGACAGCATCACAAATATGTGCATTCCACTAAAAATGCTTGGAATTACCAAGTTCTGCGCCAAGGCACCAACTCTTAAAGACCAAAAGATGAGCAAAATATGGGTGGCAACAACAATCACGCAAAACTCCGCCAATTTGGATTCTGAAAAGTCTGGACTTATGCAGAATCAGCATTTCGGAGGCCGTTAAGACTCCTACCCACAAAGGGGGTGGTTCTAAACGTGCGACTCTCGACATAACCTTGATCGCATTAAAAGACAAAATAAAATTGTCCTGAGAATGCCTAACAAGGCGTTTTATCCCGCCAGAAGAAAGACGCATTCACCCAAATGATATCGGTCATACCTGGTAGATCATACCAACAGAGTCATAGCGATTTTTTGGCAATCATACCAATGAATCCGTATTATCAAGTTGAGGTTGTTGAATAATTTTCTAAAAAGAGTAGTTATTCGAGAGATTAAACTCTCTTGTTCCCTTGCACGACTCGTCAAAAAACAGCATTATCAGAATGTGACTGTTTTCAACGAGAAATCATCCCCACGAAAAGTTCTCTGGTATTAATCAAAGGGCCTAAGCTGAGACATTCGCAAAAGAAAAATCAGCTGGCCAGATGGACTGAATTCCCCTGAAGTCACCAATCACGTACTGATAGATAAAAGTCCTAAACAGGCAATTCAGTGATCAAATCGCGGACTTTTCCCCGAAAGGGAAAAGTCAATCCAAGAATTGCTCAAAGGATGTCTCTGACTCCAATTAGGAGGCTATCAGACAGCAGAGAACTACAAGAGAATGCAAGAAGGAATTCCTCCGAGGATGAATTCTCAGACATTAATTCTGCAATCATTCTGATGATAGCAGATGTCTAGCACAGGACAAATCAGAGAAGTACTTCACAATCACTCTGATCAGTTCACTCAAATACTTCAGGAAGTCTAGGCCAAACAACGTGATGAAATTAGAGCTGAAGTGAAGACGAAATGAAGTTTGGCTATCCAACAATGAGAGAATGTTAACTCACAGCTCTCAACCTCCTGGAAGTCCCAAATCAGTTGATTTGAATCACCACCACACTCGGTAATGTTTGTAGTGATAGTGATCCAAGGTGGGATGAAGTCATTATGGCTGTAACCTCTAGGCAATAACGCTGGGGTGGTTTCGAGAACTCCTCATATAGATATTGGGGGTGGTTCAATACATAAGCTCACTGGGGGTGGTCATTATCTTTACTGCGAATATTCAGAGAATAAGCGACATGATGGTAATGAAACTTGAGAACATCATGCCTTGATGACGGCTCAAGAAGTTAAGACGCGGGTATTCATGTCCTTATCGAGGATGGTCTCAATACACATACGCTACCACCATTCATCTGATTAACCTTCCCCACCCCGTTTGAAGGGAGAGTTCGCCGATTCACCTCCTTGATTTAATTTTAAGTCTCATTTGGGCGTGCTTCTGAACAGAACTTATGGTCGGTCATTTCGTGTTGGCACTTCGTGGGCCGCGCTTCGATTGGTTATTCGCGGCTTCAAGCCAGGGAGGCATGCAAATGTTTGGATGACATGGAGTTTTGTCTCAGCAAATTTCTTCGATGATGACACCGAATGTCATATCGGAATCCTTTTGGATGGAAGCAAAGCGAGAGTCATCGACACATTTTGTCAGCGTTTCCGGTACATGGCGATGATTGCAGAGATCCTATTACATGAGGTTCATCCTGAACATGCGCACAATAACCTCCACGCATATCTGGAAAGCTCTGGGGGTTGAAGCCGTCCACAACTTGGAAAAGGGGGAGTTAAAAATTTCGGTGCGAAACAAAGCTGAAAACACTTTTCTTCAAAAGAAAGGAACTGACGAAAGGCCAAACAAAATGACATCTGGCAATCATTGGGAACGCAACTTTCATCCGAAGTTTCAAAAAAGAATATTCATTCGAAGAGATGAAGCTCCAACATATTGGAATAACTCATCGCTAAATGATAAAATGCGAGGACTACCTCCTATAAAAGATCAAGAGGGAGCTAAGAGATTACGGATCCAATACTGTGCATACCAACAGAAGAGTTCTTCATCCCACCGAGATTTGCTTTGGACTCAAACAAGATCCAAGCCAAATTGACTCGGCGTCATAACGACGAAAGAAGTCGAGTAAAAACGACCATACAACTCCAATTGGGTACACGAGTATAAACTGTTTCCCCACTCCGAAAAGTATACGAGTATAAACTGCTCCTCGATACTCCAAAGGTTATAGTGAGTCTAAACTATTTCCTTTCCTTAACGGGAAGTTCCTGGAGAATCCTATATTCTTAAGGATAACCGAACATGACTGAGGTTAACGTACTCCTCGTTATACCCCAGTTTTACAAAAAAAGCTGGGGTCGTAATTCATGTAATGGGAAGTTCCTGGAAGAATGTTATAATATAATATTCTTAGGATAACCCGATTATTATGGACAGATAGATAAATACTAAGCTCCTATTATGATTTTCGAACATCTCTTTGCTGAGATGAGATTCGATCACTTCGTTAGATCAATCTTCCCTCACAAAACCCATTTGTCAACCTTTAAACAGTTAGGACGCGAAGCCAAAATCCCTCTCGATTCGTTCCATGACGAGAGGTCCACAAAATGAACGATCAAACCTTTAAACAGTTAGGATCGTCTCAAATTCCATTTGGTCAAACATTTAAACAGTTAGGACAAAGCTAAAATCCCTCTCGATTCATTCCCATGAACGAGAGGTCCACAAATTGAATGATCAAACCTTAAACAGTTAGGATCATCTCAGAACTCCCATGGTCAAACCTTACTACAAGTTAGGACCAAACCCAAAATCCCTTTGATTCCTTCCATGAACGAGAGGTCCAGCTTCGATTGTGCAATCAAAACTATAAAAGTTAAGATTGCTTCCAATCTCAATTGATCAAACCTTTTTCAGATTCTCTGAATAGAAATCCATCCCAATTTAAATTTCTTTGTACCGAGGAGATAGAATATAAAATTCTTACTCTCCCGATTTCGGGTTTATCTCTACGCAACAAACAAGAGACCAGGAGATAGAATATAAAATTCTTCCTCTCCATCATCGGGTTTTCTCTACCAAACAAACAAGAGACCAGGAGATAGAATATAAAATTCTTCCTCTCCGATTCTGGTTCATCTCTACAACAAAAAAGAGACCTAAATACTCCAATAGTACAGCGAGTCTAAACTGTTTCCCTACCCTCAACAGGAAGTTTCTGGAGAATATTACTCAGAATATTCTTAAGAATAACTGAATACTCCAATAAGGTACACGAGTCTAACTGTTTCCCTATCATCAACAGGAAGTTTCTAGAGAATATTAACTCAGAATATTCTTAAAGAATAACCTGAATAGTCCAATAGGTACACGAGTTCTAAACTGTTTCCCTACCCTCACAGAAGTTTCGGAGAATATTACTCAGAATATTTTAAGAATAACGCTGAATACTCCAATAGGTACACGAGTCTAAACTGTCCTTATCATCAACAGGAAGTTCTAGAGAATATTACTCAGAATATTCTTAAGAATAACCTGAATACTCCAATAGGTACACGAGTCTAAACTGTTCCCTACCCTCAACAGGAAGTTTCTGGAGAATATTACTCAGAATATTCTTAATGAATAACCTGAATACTCAATAGGTACACGAGTCTAAACTGTTTCCCTATCATCAACAGGAAGTTTCTATGAGAATATTACTCAGGAATATTCTTAAGAATAACTTGAATACTCCAACTAGGTACACGAGTCTAAACTGTTTTCCTACCCTCAACAGGAAGTTTCTGGAGAATATCATTTAAAATATTCTTAAGAATAACCTGACTACCCCAAATGGGTATATGCATATCAACTTGATGACAAGAGCTGATTTCACAAGTACAAGTTCCAGCTTTAATTCAAGATCTCGACAACGGTCAAGCGATAAACGCGACGACGCCGGAAAGAATCTTAGCTATTCTACAAAGTACTGAATAGATTGAGAGACAAAGAGGTCAAGAGTTGAAGCCATCTACGGGTTCCTCTATATAATCTACTCAACCAAGCATTAAAGGGATCGTAAGCAAGACTTATCTTATCCAAAGTATCCCAGAACTCCTCTATAAAAGAATGAGTCTGGAATACTTGAGGGGTATCTGTAGGCGTCAAAAAAATGCTGAAAGATATCCAAATACAGCTCAAGAGGAAATCATCCAAAAAGGCAAAAAGAACACAAGTATAGACTGTCTCACAGGCGAGACAGTCTTTACTGTCTCACCTGGCGAGACAGTCTTTACTGTCTCGCCGGCGAGACAGACTTTTACTGTCTCGCCCAGGCGAGACAGTTTTCACTGTCTCGCCCCCGCGAGACAGTTTTCACTGTCTCGTCCCTGCGAGACAGTATTTACTGTCTCGTCGTGCGAGACAGAATTTCTGTCTCGCACACGAGACAGTTATCAGTGGTTCAAGAAACTGTTTTGCAACCGTCGACAACGTGGCCACTAACTGTTCAAGACGTGGGAAATGTCGTGGGCGAGAATCACGTGATAACTGCCAGAATAACGGAGTTTAAAACGTGGGAGAGCGGTTACAATGAGAAACTGCATTTTCCGAGGCAGTATTTACTGTCTCGCTGGGCGAGACAGCAATTTACTGTCTCGCTGGGCCGAGAACAGCAAATTTACTGTCTCGCTGGCGAGACAGCAAACACTGTCTCGGCCAGCGAGACAGCAGCAAACACTGTCTCGCCCAGCGCGAGACAGCAAATGCTTTCCGCGAGCACTGTTCATCCAGAGGGTTATAAATACCCCCCGAAGGCCATTTTCACAGAGGTTGGCGGCAGAGATCAAGGGGCTGATCATTTTTGGAGCACTTCAGAGCAATTCAGAGCAGAGAGAGAGCAGAGTTGCTGATCTTACGGCCAATCCTTGATAATCAGGCTTTGACTTGATTTCAAGAAGAACGACTATCTTACATCGATAAGATATCGTTTCAATTTCTCACTTCGATAAACGAAGTCAGAATCATAAACCCCTCACGATTCAATCAGAATCTGTGATTTGGTGGTCCACGAGCTAACGCGCTCCCGGCACAGGCAAAGATCCCACGAAAGCAGTGATCCAAACAACGATCCTGCGTTTATTTTCTCAAGAGTTGTAATTTTCTTTTTGTTGTGTAAAAGAGTCTTATAAAAAGGCTGTTTTCTTTGAATTTATTGTAATCGACCGAAGATATAATGAATTCGACAACAGAACCAACTTTTGACGAAAACACTTTCCCTCTGCGGTGAATTCGCCTCCTGTCAGCATCACGTGAGGGGGGCAAGCCTCTTCGTCCTTCTCATTGTAACCGACTTCATTAGCAGTTGCTGCTGAGAGAGATGAATTGTTGATTTCCTGTAAGTAGTTGCAGAGTGAACCAAACAATTAACAAATGATTCATTAATTGTTCATCTAACTTCAGTTATTTTCGTTTCGATTGTTCAATTAACCATAAAAAGATTAGTCTTCAGTCAGTTCATAATCTAATAGAATGTAACCAGAATATAATCAGTTTTTTACCAGAATATAATCAGTTTTTTACCAGCTCCACCTTTAAGACCTTGAGGCCAAGGTCCCACGCCTCTTTCGCCGACCGATGGAGCTCGGAGAAGTTTCGTTTGATGACATAGTCCTCGTAATCGGCGAACTTGAGGCCCGAAACGTAAAGAGATCGCCGGAGAGAAGCGGATGAGGATGAGAGGGACCTCGAGGTGTGCACGAGGTGGTAGGGCCGCTTAGAGGCGGAATTAAAGTCGGAATCTTGTGGGCTGCGGAGGCGATCGCGAGAGAGACGAGGTCTTAAGCTGACGAGAGCTTGAGACGGTGTCGAACTAGGGTTTGATTGAGAGAGAGACGAGGATCTCTGGAGGCGATGAGCAAGGAGACGAGGATCCCTGGAGGCGACGAGCAAGGCGACGAGAATCTGGAGGAGAGATCGGGGGTCAGCGTCGGGAGAGATCGGGCCTGGAGGCGACGAGCAAGGCGACGAGAATCTGGAGGAGAGATCGGGGGTCAGCGTCGGGAGAGATCGGGGTCAGCGTCGGGCGAAATTTCCGTCGCTCTCCCTCGTTTTCACTAGGCCAGCGGAGAGAAAGGGGGAATGAAAAAATATAAACCCATTTTTCTGCAGTGAAATTCATTTTCTTTTTCTTTTTTGTTTTCTTTCCATCCAAACACCAGAATCCTACTTTCTCTCACACTTTACTTTCCTTTCTCTCCATTTCTCTCAAACCAAACACAACCTAAGAGACTGGACTCTATAAAGTACATGGAAGCAAAAGAAAAAAGGGTAATAAAATCACAAATTTATAGGAAAAAGGGTAATAAAATCACAAAATCACAAATTTATAGGAAAAAGGGTAATACAATCACAAATTTATAGGAACACTTTTCACTGCAGTATTTAGAATTTTTTTCTATTTACATATTATATTCTTGGAATTTTTTCCTCTTATATATATTGTATAGACCAAACACATAATTATATACAAGATTACTAAATGCAAATTCAATTTAGAATAAAAATTCAAATAGGACAAAAAACCTAAACATATAAATAAAAAAAAGATCCATCTGTACGGGTACAGGGCATTATACTTAGTATATATAATTTAGGCAACTCAGTGAGCTTTTGTAAGGATTTTATTTGATTTTATTATTATTATTTATTTATGTATTTATTTTGATGTGTGTGCCTTAGGGCATGTTTGTTTCGCAAAAAATTACAGAAAGTAGGGGAAAGAAAATGAATTTTGATGTTTTTTTTCTATTTTTTGATGTTTGGTTCATCAAAATTCGAAAAGAAAGTGAGGGAGAAAATGAGTTGTCACCATATTATTGGATGAGATGAGTAATTTTTGATGTTTTTCCCCACTTTCTTTATTTTTTGTTATTTCTTGTGTTTGGTTCATTCTTGAAACTAAGAAAATAAATGAGAGAAAACGAGTTGTCATTATATTATTGGATGATGTGACTCATACTTAGGAAAATCAATTTCCTTGTTTTTTTGGAGAAAATGGATGGAAGGAAATTTTAATGAGATGTGATGAGTTGTCATCATACTATTGGATGATGTGAGTAATTTTTAAAGATAGTAAAAAATAAAGAAAAATTAGGTGAGGTGAGTTAGATGAGTTGATTGATGTGACTCATTTCTTGTGTTTAGTTAAGAAATGAGATGTGATGGGTTGAGTTGTCACAATATTATTGGGGGAAAGTAGAAAAAGTGAATAAAAGTGGTTTAGGGGCTGTTTGTTTGCCTAAAAAAAGTGGGAAATTAAAGAATAGGAAATCAAAGAATAGGAAAACTTGTATTATGGTTGTTTGGTTGGCTAAAAAAAGGAGGAAATCAAAGAATAAGAGATGAGATGAGATGAGTTGTCACCATATTATTGGATGATATGAGTGATTTTTTAAGAAAACTAGTTTTAAGGTTGTTTGGTTGGTTAAAAAAATAAGGAAATGTATTATAAGAAACTTATTTCCTATAATAGTTTCTTTCTGGTGTTTGGTTCATTCTTAAAAATAAGAAAATAGATGAGATGAGATGAGTTGTTTGTATATTATTGGATGATGTGATCCACACTTAAGGAAATCAATTTCCTTGTTTTTTTTAGGAAACATGTGGAAATAAAATGTTAATGAGATGAGATGAGTTGTCACCATATTATTGGATGATGTGTGTGATTTTTAAATATGAGATGAGATGAGTTGGATGATGTGACCTATTTCTTGTGTTTGGTTTATTTTTAAAAGTAAAAAAGGAGATGAGATGTGATGAGTTGATGGATAAAAATAATATTTTATTGATAAAAGTGTATATATTTCCTTTTCTTTGGATGAGTTTTAGGGATGGAAATGGATAAAAATAATATTTTAATAAAAAAAAGTACATGGATTTCCTTTTCTTGGTTTTTAGGAAACCAACCAAACAGCCCCTTAAAGAAAATGGGGGAAAGTGAAAAAGTAAAGGAAAGTGGGTTTTAGATTCGGGGGGAAACGAAACAAACAAGCCCTTACTGAAAGCATATACGACATATTGATCGATGACAAAGAGGGTTGAGCATATTTAAGAGGGGTTCGATAACTTTGAAAAGTTACTTTTTGCTTAAGAAAGTAAAGAAATGTTTTATTGCATAAGTAATCATGTTTATATTATAATATTTTTGTCTTCTATATATGGATAGTCACAATATGCGCTATTGGAATAGCATCTTCTATGTGTTCTAAATATGTGAAGTGTTGTGCGCGGCGGAAGCTTTCTAGGGCAACACGAACAATAACTAGAACTAAACCACAAACAATATGCAAACCACAATCACAGCAAGAACACACAATTTACGTGGTTCGGCAAGTTGCCTACGTCCACGGGGCAAGGAGGGGGGAGTTCTTCCACTAGAAATCAAGAGAATACAAATAGGGTTACAAATCTCTCAGACCAAACCCTAAAACAAAGCTCTAGATCTCTCAAAGCTCTCTCCCAATTGGATGCAATGATTCTCTCTCTTTGGCTGCTCAAATTCGTCCAACCTCTACCCTAAACAAACAGGTTTAGGTATATATAGAACTTACAAAACGAACCGGGTCGAAAACCAGAAAAAACTGATATCCGCTTCGTCGGTCGACCGGACCGGTCGACCGCCGCCTGTTTTTCCTGATTCTGCTGCTGATGCTGAAATTCCTTAGGTGCGAAATCTCTCATTATTTCATTAGTGTTCACAGTAATATCGGCTAAATAACTATATTGGTATTTTAATTCCACTCCATTTACCAAGAAGATATTTTAATTAGGCAAACCTGTTTTAAGTCATTTTAATTGATTCAACTTACCAACAAGGCCATTTTTCTCGTCGGCGACCAGGTTTCCGGCGAGAGCTCGTCACGTGAGTGGCACGTGATGACTTAAACTGTTTTTTAGTTGCTGATGTGACACGGATTTTCTGACGTGGCAGTGTTTAAAGACGGGAATCAACTCTCTAAAAATCCCAATTCACCCAAAATAGGACAGATCCGTGTCACATCAGTAGCTAAAAAACAGTTTAAGTCATCACGTGCCACGCACGTGACGAGCTTCTCGCCGAAAAACTGGTCGCTGACGAGAAAAATGGCCTTGTTGGTAAGTTGAATCAATTAAAATGTCTTAAAGTAGGTTTGCCTAATTAAAATACCTTCTTGGTAAATTGGGTGGAATTAAAATATCAATATGGATATTTAGCCCAGTAATATCCCTATGAAACATTCCTATATCTGTGTCAACGGTGAATGACGGTAAGGCCCTCTCTTCACCTTCATGGATGTTTGAAAGAAGAAAGTCATATATCACTAGACTTGAGAAACTACATTTTCTATCTTCCAATTTAAGGATACATTTCGTATCCTTCTTTTGTAACAAATCTTTTGATTTTAATATAATTGACAGGGTATATCCCTTGTTTTTTCTAAAAAAAAAAACATCCCTATGAAACAACCCAATTAGTACAAGAAATTATGCCACACACCAAAGAAAGCAAAAGCTAAACCGCAGCGACAAAAAAAGCAGATTAAAAAAAAAAGAAACCCAGGCAGAACAGAAATAATTTTCCCCACATTGCAAAACTAAGTCCCCATCTCAAACTTGGAACCCTCCTCATGTCTTATAAAAATATTTGAGGCAGAAGATATTAAAACCATATACGAGTTGGATTCTTTTCGAGAAAAAGAAAAGAAGTTATTACATCCAAATCATCTCTGGCGAATAATCTTTACTCGACACCTTTCTTCTTTAATTACTAAACCAAGCCCATCCTATGTCCAAGAAAAATGCCAATTGTGTGTCAAGCGAAATAACTGAGGGAAAAAATTTGTTCCATACAGTATAATGTCCTTTGTCGTCTAGGAGCATGCTCATAAAAAAAAGGGGTTTTTGCTTTTAGACCCATTTGTTTACTCCCATTTATTTTTAAACCCATTTGTATCTTTAAGCCCAATTCACCTTTTGTATTTATCTTTAAACCCAAAACCACTTATTTTTATATTTTGAAGATTGGGTTTAAAAATAAATACAAAATGTGAATTGGGCTTAAAGATACAAATAATAGTACATGAGTTTAAAAATAAATGGGAGTAAACAAATGGGTCTAAAAGCAAAAACCCCTAAAAAAAATAAGATCATGCTTCTGCGCATGATTAGTAGTTAAAAATAAAAAGATTTACATGCACATGTCATTCATGAAGACATCCAAATAAATTGTGTGCAGAGGGTGATCCCATAGATAAGGATTCTTTCTTTATATGATGCACAGTTATGAACCGAACTTTTACCCAAACATGACTTCATAGTTTATTTATTTATTTATGTATTACTGAAAGAGAATACAGTATCCCTTATTACGTACATATTCTCACCAAAATAAGCTCGGATTTATTCCTAACCTAGAAAGCTTAACTCTGTCAATTAGCACCCAATCCCTTTAGCCTAAGGGTACAAATTTTATCAGAATCTCCATATATAAATCTCAAATGCATTCTTTATAGCTCGGAACATTATGATTGCATGCAAAATGCACTGATAAAATTTGTACTCCTAAACTCAGGGGCAGAACACAAGAACATAATCAGTCCCAGACTTGCACGTAAGCGTACTGGCTCCACCATCCGGCGCCGGAATACTAAACGCCTCTGGACAATACATCTTAAAAAACTGCGAATAATTTGTCGGCCCGCAACTGCCCGAACTGCAGCAATACTCCTCAGTCTTAAACACGTCACACGGGCTATCACACCCTCCATCAACCCTCAACTCACTCGGACAATTACCCAAAATATCTCCCGTGCACCGGGTTTTACGACACCCGGTAGCCGTTGGTCCGAAGACCATCGGCACGTTGAATCCGTTGACGAGCGAGATGTCAAAGAAATCTTGGCCGCCGAATTGGTTGAGAGCGAATTCGGCGATGGTGGTCGGAGAGGAACCATGGGATTTGCAGAGGAAGAGGCCACTGCAGTCGCCGGTAGAGCATGAGCCGTGGCCGGTTGGGCCGAAGGTGCAGTTGGTTCGGGCCCAAATGCTGCCCGTTGAGTTCGAGGGGATGTTAAGAGTCCATGTCTGGTTTGGGCTTAGTTTTTGGGCTGCGGGGGGGATGGAAGCCGGCCAGAGAGTATAGGGGCATTGGTTTGTGATTGTGAATTTGGTTGAGTGGGACAGAGTGAAGAGGAAAGGGATGAGGAGGGTGAGGGTGGCTGCTGTTGCGGGCATTTTTGTTGGTGGGAGTTGTTGGCGGAAGGGAGAAATACGAGTGTGATTTATAGTAGCAAGTTTGAGGGTTAGCGTTATTTCAACGTTGGTTAAAATACGTATTCTAGAAGACTAGGAATAAAAAAAAGAAAGGAATAAAAGTAAAAGCATATAAAATCTAAGCGATCGCGATGGGACTCGAACCCACAATCTCCCGCTCCGGAGGCGAGCGCCTTATCCATTAGGCCACGCGATCAGAACTGAGACAACATGAAAAGGAAATAAACTTTGTTTTTATACTTTTTATGATTTTTTTTTGTTTTTTTTTTAAATTTTTTTATTTGGATGGAAGAAAAAGAAACGAAACTCCAAAGTACGAAACATCACTGCAAACATGGCGTAAAGTGCCTTAAGTCTATATATCCCATATATAGTCTGATAGTATAGAAAGTTTGTAGATCATCCTGCTACTTATCCTATCCCTGGCTGGATTTATGTGATATCGCATGGCTGCAGGTTGATATCTTACTCCTAACTTGAGAAAATTATTATTCGTGCCACTACAGACACGAGGACAATTTAGTTATCTCGCACAATTTTTCTTTTCTTTTATCTTCTTTTCTTTCTTTATTTCTAGAACTTTGGAAAGCATATCATAGAGCTCTCTTATTAAATATCTATTACATCGCATATCATAAAAAAATAAAGTTTTTTCCCATATAAATAATGCAATAAAAACAGCGATTAGTATTTCAACATATTCCCACATAAATGTTATCAAAAATGAATATCTAAATACTTAGCTTAAAATAATTAAATAAAATAATCTGATGATGAAATATGACAAAAAGACTCTTCTTAATGACATATCTAGGAAAATTATATCATTATTCAAATTGAGATATATGTCATAATCAATTTCAAATAAGGTAAGATAAAGTTTCGCATATTAGATGAACAAATATCATAAAAGATCTAAGAAATATCTACGATAGTTTAAGATATTAAAATGACTCTTTCTTTATAAAACATAGAATAATTAAGTTTTAATGTCTGCTTCAGATGCGTTTGCACGTGAAATGATGATTTTGGGGGGAGAAAATCTCCCTGCTACAGCCTTTTTCCATTACGAAGGTTAGCATCAATATAACAGAGGCCTATTTGGATTTCCATCACAGAAAAGATGATGATACAAAAGAAATACCACATATGAGCAAGGATAAAGAACATTAAGAAGCAAAGAGAAAAGGACCACATATCCATCTCTTTAAGATCCTTCAATCTCCACTGTAAAGGTAAATAGTACAATTTGAAGCTATCATTAATATTAGTATCAACATTACACATTTGACATCCATAGATATATGAACTTCAACGAAAACCTACTAAACTTGAGGCATCACGTGCCGAATGAGAACTGTCCCAATTCATAAAATTAGATACATTCCATAGTTTAGCAGTCAAGCGATCTCTCTGTGCATATTTCCAGTCAAATTTCCACTGAAAAGGAGCCAGGACACCACAAAATCATTTGATGATTATGACTTGATGACACCGGGCATGTAATTTTGCTTCTTGAGTTTTCTGGAGTTGGCACCTATAGGTTTACTGGTCACCAGTGCATACATCTTCACTGGGAATAATTCGCCAGGAAATCCTTTTTGGTCCTGACATACACACAATTTAAGATAAAGGGGGCGGACCTAGGGAAAAAAAACTTCAATAGTTCTAAACTAGTTTTTGAGACAGAAAATTAGCTTCAATGTAAAGAATTTTTGGCAAACCTTTGTGCTGTAGAGATACAATCCACATTGACGAAAGAGCTCTTTGAAATATGGATCAGATCTTGTGACGCTTCGATCCTCCTTATCTAGCACAAATCCTGAAAGAAATATGACAGAAGATCAAGCTGGACACTAGGATGATTACTCCACAAGCAGCAGTAAGGCCAACTATTCCATACAAATTCTGACAAGACTTATTCACACAAAGATATCAAAATTATCTTACATTTACAAATCAGTCAGTGGTCATTTGATAAAAGAAATTCTAAACGCGTAGAAAATCCATAAGAGTAGATAGGCTTGAGGTTTCCAATCATGAGACAAATCAATGAGTAGATAGGCTTGAGGAAACTCAGTCCTGCATATCATATGGAAAATGATCACTTGCATTTCTTTCTATTTTCACCAACTTTTTGTTGAAAGGTTAGTTGGTTTAGTTTTACAATTTCAAGTTCCAACTTCACATTTCAGTGTCTTTCCTACCCAAGTTTGAATCTGTTTGTCATGACAAAATGAATACAACGTTACAAAGCAATGTCACAAAGAAGAATAAGGCAAACCAGTAACTTAAATAGGCAACACAAAACGAGACAAAGAAGAATAAGATTTGTGCTAGTCACCTAGGTCTGGACTGCAAAAGGGGGGCCCCATGCCTGGGGTTTACTTGGCTGGTACTAAGCCAAGGTTCCTTGCCCAAAAAAAAGAAAAAAAGAAAAATTGCAAGCACATAATTGATAAAACAATGTCATAATAAAGATTTAATACAAATAACTACAAATACAAGGTATAATCAATCTACTTTCAGAGGTGAATATATGTTTCTTTTGAAATTACTAAGGATTAATAGAAGAAATTTACTAATTTTACTGAAATTGCATTTTAAGAAATTGACATGATAAGAAGGATCAAATTGTTTTATCAATTTACTAATTTTACAAGATTGCTTTATTAAGCAATATTGTCTCACAGTTGGACAATAGGGACGCAGTTTACAGGAAATAATTCACTACTCTTCCCTAAAACTTGATAGAAATTAAGAAAAGAGCTCTACAGGGGAGACTAACAGTGAACTTTTTAGATAGAAATTAAGAAAAGAGCTCTACAGGGGAGACTAACAGTGAACTTTTCAGATAGAAATTAAGAAAAGAGCTCTACAGGGGAGACTGACTAACAGTGAACTTGTAGATCCAAACTTTCAGAAGACCAAACACATAGAAGTTCTAGTTATCATGAATAATTGTAAAGATCATTTGCAAAAGCAAATAATTAGGGTTTTTAAAGAAAGAGAGAATCATACCATTTCTTGCAGTATTCTCTTTGACAACGAAAAACCCATTAGGTTTAAGGCCAACCTGCACGATAACATATTAGCCAGTAGCAAAGCAACAAGAAAAACAATGCACCACAAACATCAACATGTAAAGAAGTTCTGCCAAAATTGCTATTTTTAAAACAGGTACAACATCCAGGGAAACAAGAAAATGGAAAAAAGAAAATGTACTATTCAGACAAAAGTAAGCATGAAGCTCAAGGCCCCTTAACATGTAAATTTGGATAACAGAACAAAAACTTGACATGTTAAGGCATAATATGGTTATTGAGCATTGATAACCGGAGCTCTAAGGAACCAACATAGATATACTGGTTATTCGAATGTAGAAGATCTTCTTTAAAAACAGATTGCCACTAGGTGGAATTTAAGAAACCAATTGATCACTAATAGAGATAAATAATTCTCAGAAGAGCTGAATAACTTGAAAGCATCCTTCCTAGCCTCACACATGCACATACAATGACCATTGACTGCACAATAGGGGTTCAAAACATGTATGCTTTCTACTAATCATGCTGTATCCCATGTTAAAACTGACAATTTTCCAAGTGCGGTAGTAAGTTAACTCTGCACTTACTACAATAAGCGCACCTAGGAGAACCTAACTAGCGAAATTTTAAGATTAAGAACTAAAAAAATAAAAGAAGAGTTATTCCCTACAAGAATGAGAGCTTATTAGGAAAATAAACAACCAAGAACATCAAGTGCAAAATACAAAGATTTGAGTGAAAAATAAGCGTACTCCCATATATCAGCTGAAGCAAAAACAACTGCATCAAAACATACAAACCTTTGCTCGCTTAAAAAAAGCTATAAAGTCGTCATCAGTAAGTTGTCCGATACACCATTGAACCCATATCACATCATATCTTCCAGCTTCGGGAGTGAAATCCTGTAACGATAGAACATACAAAGTTCAAAGACAATTTGATACATAGTGCTTTCAGACCAGCTGAATGAGCACAGTAAATAACCTGAAGAGGGATACAATAAAAATTGACAGCCTTGTGACCATCGTCCATATCTCCATCGTGAACTAAAGTTTCACGAGCAGCGTCAAGAAAATGTGATACTGGTTCTACAAGATCAACCTGAATTCAGACATCAGTAAAATGTACAGTTAATTAAACAATCCGAAAGATGTGTGTATTACAGAACCAACAAGGTCATACACTTCCACTGAAATGTATTGTCCAAATGCCTATAAACCCAGAAAACATGTTCAATATAGCTTTCACAAGCTGCCAACATGAACATGTCTTGAGAAATTATAATATATAATTAAGATAATTGATCATTAGAAATTATTAGAATAGATTATATCATGATAAGTTACAGTATGGATCATCAATTGGTTTCCAATCATAAGTTCAGAAACATGGCGAATCCAAATATCTCTATACCTTTGGAACAGTCCAGCATGCACATCGACATATAAGAGTCAAGCTAAAACTTCTTTAATATCTTTTTCACGCAAATGTACAATTTGAATTTACATCCGTAATCCATATTTTGCATAACTTATGCCACATAAAAAATAAAGACACTCCTAAAAGGAGGAAAAAAACTTCCCTTTATTGTTTGGCTCATTGCTGCAGCATAAACGTTTTGGTATGTACATCAGAAATCATCCCCTAGTTATGTTGATAACCTTTCCTAATGATTCACTGGCTTCCTAAAACGAACTAATCGTATGCACAACATGTGTTCAGAATAGCATTTGCATATTTTGCAGTTCTATTATTTTCTTATATGGTTTCTTAACTGAAACCTTTTCAAACTGTTAATATGCTTAGCCACTTTTTTCGCAACTTGGGTTCCCATCAGAGTTCTATTACAACCCACCTAACATGATATGGTAACTAACTCTGACGCTAGG